TATGACTGAGATTTACAGTGTGAATTTAGGGTTCCAAGATTATATCAGGGAAAGAAGTGTCTAAATGGGTTAATGAAGAAAATCAAGAACATTGTATGGTTTGATCACGGTAACTGATATCTTGCTTGATTTTCATAATCTGATACTGGCATACTGCAAAAAAAACTCATTTTGGGCTTCGGTGGACTTTATACGTAGTAATGCTACAATCTCCAGAACATTTTCTCTTTACATCATCAACTCTGCACATATTATATAAAAAGAGTATAATGATTTACGATGGCTTTCTCACGTCATGACTGTTTAATTTTTTTTCTTTCTCTGGGAGGTAAGCCAAAGGAACTTTCAGACAAGGCGGAAAAGCCTTATTGTATATTTTATGCATATGGATGTACGTAATTCAAGCTAACTGTTTAAGATTATTCCAAAGCCCTTTAGTCAACAAAATCCTAACAAACCTTCTCTTATCATCACATGGATCTTAATTTGTAGAAAAGGAAACCCTTGTACTAATTGACTTCATCATTGCCATATATATATATATATATATATATATATGTTGGGTAATTTGTAGTTTCTACTAGAATCATTCAATAACAGCATATCAATCAAAGTAATTCAGTTACTAGAATTGCCTATTACTTAAACAAAATGGGATCCCGCAAACCCCATTACCTCCAAATGTATATGAGGTTCCTGCTATGGTGGCGCCAGAGGTGGTGGTGGTGCCTGGAGCTTTTCCCATTGTCACCGCCAGCCAATCTTCTGTCGTACTGGTGGTTGCAACTCCTATGGATTGTGGGTTGTGATTTGCTTGCAGAAGTCGAATTTGCCTTTTCAAGAACTTGACATAACGAATGGCTTCATCTAGCATGGATGCAGTGTCCATCTTTGTACCTCCGGGCACAAGTCTTTGCAGAATTCGCATTTTTTCGCTTATTTTCTCTCTTCGGTGCCTTGCTGCCACGCTTTGAGGATCGTTGCTTATACGAACATTTTGCCTTTTAGGCTTCTGAATTGTGGCTGGATCAATGTCTACTGGTTGCATTGCTGCAATCTTGAACATCATTTCTTTCATGGCTCCTAATTCTTCTTCAGGTTCTTCTTCCTCTTCTTGCTTCTTGAGATTCGCCATTTGAGTGCTAAGCAAATTTGGAGCTTGTAATGGAATTAATGATGAAGATGGTGTGCAGTGATTTTGAAGAGGATAATCTGTCCAGATTGTATGATCAAAAGGGAGCTGATGATCATGACGAAAGTGGTGATCTTCTATTGTCATATTAGGATCCCAAGTAGGATTTGTGAATTTTTTGTGGTTTATATCCATAAGATGATCAACAAATCTGATTGGGATCTTTGTACAAAAAGTTGGGGAAAAAACTGTTTTAATATCAACCCTAAATTAAGCTTTGGGGAAAAAATTGTTTTAATAACAACCCTAAATTAAGCTTCAGAAATCCATAAAGAAGTAGAAAAGCTTTGTGTGTGAAAAGGGAGAGAGAGATTTGGGGCATTCATTCAAGTAGAAATAGACAAGTAGTATTTATTTACAGAGAAGGAAAAAACGTACGGAATTGATATTTGTTTGGTAGGATCATCTGCTGAAGTCATAAAGGGCTAAGGCATGGTATTTTCCCTCTTTTCAACAAGTACTTATAACCAAGGAATTCATTATCTTGATGATCATCATAATCTCTGGAATTTTTAGGGTTTTATTCAGAACAGTGAAACACAATCACCATCTAACAGAAAGTAATTGTTGAGGTGAAATGTTGAATGAATTGGCTTAATTTATTAGCCAGACTAGACATCTCATTAATTACATTCAAGTGCTTAAAATTAACTTAAAAGTTACTTTTCTAAAGTTTGTACGTATCATAGTGTGTACATGCTTAGCTACATGTTATTTTTAACACCACCTGTTCATCGAGAGGGTGGACTCCTACTGGATTATTAATAAACAAAGGAGAAATACAAGGTGCGTAAACAGGGGCGGAGCCAGGGACTTCGTCCAGTGCGGGCACAAATTTAGGTATTTGCTATAGTAATTTTTTTGGCCAAAAGCAGTATATGAAAGAAAAGAGTTTCACGTGATTAATGCAGAAGGAATCTATAACAAAAATTCACGAACAGGGTGAGTTATCCAGCATAGAAGACAATCTATAGCATATACATATATAAATATGACACCCTATAGAAAAAGAATATCAAATATAGAGTTCCAAAACAAATTCTTAGTCAAGAACCTCAAATAACCACTAGCAAAATCGTGACAAATTTTTTTTATATAATACCAATTCTAACAAGCCTAAAGACAATCTCACATCCTCGTTCACTTGAAGAACTTCTTTTCGAGTCTTGTCCCAATTGAAAATCGAAGATGTGAGAGATATCCCGAGAATGTAAAGCCCAAACTTATTAACTATTCTAGAAGCATGTAGATTTTCAAAGTAAAGCAATTAGTGGAAGATGACTTGTTAACACCTACTGCAATCAATTCTATTATTCGATTTCATGTGCTTTTAGATTAATATGATAATTAATGGAGATACACAAACAAATACATTGTACACATTTTTATGAACAAAGAGACATGTTTTGTGCATATATTTATGAAACAATAGCTGAACAGCCAGAAATAGGATGAAACTTGGAATGGTTTTAACTTTTAACATCGGTAGGCCTATGGGCTATAAATCCTATGATCATGGGTTTAATGTTAAGACAGTCCAATTTAACAAAAGGCCCACAATTTATTTATTTTTTAAATGGCCCAACAACTTATCTTCCCCATCAATTCATCCCTACTCTTCACTGCGACAGCTGCTTTGGAGTTTTCTTCTTCCATTTGCTTTTTCTCTTCTTGGTCAGTTGGTCTAGACAGAAAAGGCTTACATTACAATTTAGAAAAAAAAATTAGAAGTTAGCCCAAGAAAAAACTCTTCTACCCTTCTTCCACTTTCAGTTTTCAACTCTTCACGTGATACATCGATCTGCCGAAAATCCCAGTGCAGGCACTATTTGCATCTACTGCCTAAACTTTCAGTTCTTAAAATCCCAGTGCCGGCACCTGCCCGCACTGGTCCTTAGATATCTCCGCCTTTGTGCATAAAAGGTTGACAAAATGCTGAACTACCAACTCAGTAAATACGATATACTTGGGAGGAGGTTGAGTTGATGGACCCTATCTCTGATTAACATAGAACGAAATTATGAAATCATTAAAACCTAAATTTTTTACATGACCTAGTTTTCAACTTGTTGCCAAGAAGACATGCACCATGCTATTAGAAGGCAGCATATATAATTGAAACATTTTAAGAAAACAAAATAAAAGACTGATATGATACATTAAAATAGAGATTAGAAATGAGTGTGGAGGATGCTTGATAAATCACGTCATTGACAAATCATCTTCCGCAAGATCATGAAATTTATCTCTCAAATTATATACATGATCATAAGCAGGGCACCACCTAGTTGAATTCTAAAAGATTATTGAGAAAATGGGACCTAATGATCTCTCGAGTTCTATACTATCAAAATTATGTTGGATTGAAATGTAATTTTTTATTTATTTATTATTATTTTCATTTTTTTTGCAAAATGTACTAGTTGTATTGGTAAATCCTCACTTATGGTGGAGGAAAACCTTGGTTACAATCAATTACGAAAAGCAAAAAGAGGGCAAATTACATTTATCTAAGCAAATGCAACCAATTGTAGAAACTGAGAAACTAGAAATTGATTCTAAAAATTTTGAATGACCTTGAGACCCAAGATGCGTTAAAGAATTAGCCGCCTGATTTGCTTCACAATAAATATGTGACATATCAATAGATATAATCTGAGCAAGCTCTAATATACCCTTCCAAATAAGCCGAATAGCCAAAGGTACAGTGACATGATGATGAAACCAATGAACCAGCACACTAGAATTCGTTTATATAGCAATCCTCTCTATGCCAGGGACATAGCACATTTGAAGGCCTATCTTAAGAGCTAATACCTCCGCTGAAGTGTTAGTACCAATCCCAAGAGAGTGATAGAACCTAAAAATTACCTTCCCTTGCCAATCCTGAAGTAGACCACCACAACCACTCAGGCAAGGATTTCCAGTGCTAGTACCATCAATATTTAGTTTATAAAGACCATATTGCGGTGGGAATCATCTAACAAGAAATGGAGCTTTGACTCGTATTGTTAACACATGGATTTGTAGCTTCTGTGAATAAGTAACAAAGAGAGACAATTTCTTCGGTTTTAGTATACTGTTCAATTCTTGTAGCCAATGTTCTACTTTAGCACAAACTCTATGCAAGTTTGTGACCTCATCCTTAAACTGTGAAGAATTTCTGGCCAACCAAAGCTCCCAGGTGTCATGGAAATCCCTCGATAAATTTTGATTACGGGCTCAGAAAACAATCAAACAAATACCGGTTTACCTCAACTTGACTCGAGACTTTCGCCTTCACGGTGGTGGTGTTAGCAATCCACAAAGGTATGGAGAGGAAGAAGAAGATATCACAATCGTTGAATCTCACTCACAACCTCACATGGCTTCCCTCTCTCTCGGCTGCATCTTTTCTCTCAACTCTACTCTCCTCTCCATTGCTACAACACACGCTAAAACGGTTGGGAGATAGATACATATATATAGTTTAGTTTAGGTCACCAAATATGGGTCAAGAGATCACTAAGTGGGTTGCCATATAACCAAAACTAATGGGCCAATTTTCAACTTCATATTAATCACTAAATGGTCCAACTAACCAAAGAATCATCCAACCCCAACTCGAGTCATCAAAAGGTATAGTTCGTTCCCGAGTTGAGCCAAGTTCATGGTATCGATAAATAATTCGACAACTGTTTTAAATCGTCGCCCGAATTATTGGGTATCAAAAAATCCAACAATCTCCACCTTAATGCTCAATAATCTGCAAGCAACCAAAACACATAGTTTATACTTGCACAATCAAGGAAATCCAATAAAATTTGAATCAGACCTCACATCGTGTTTCCAACCTAAATCATATACCATACCTGTTCCATGTACTCACTGGGGCTAAGGTCAAAAAACACCTAGCAAATATTGAACAGTAAACAATCAGGAGCAAATACACATGCGATGACAATATACTATAAAATAACATACACAAATCTTTTCAGAAACATGTTCACATAGAACCATAGATTAACACCAAGTCAATCAAATGACGGTCAACCACATATGCAACACATGCATAAATGACCATAAGAAAAGATCTCACAACACTTATCATATCCCATTTCGTGTCGCTCAAACCTCAAGAACACATATCTCCTCTCATCGCCCACCAAGCTCACTAGACTGATCACTCAACTCATGTCTAACTGGTAGGTCACATTAGATCCTAAGTTCACGGGATAATCCTCTGTCTTCACATCACTTCTCCCAACTTACGTGAATAATGGGTCTCCATCTAACAGAAGTGATAGAAGCGCCTATCTCACACTTCACCTAATTAGGGTCTCTTTACAGATAAAGGATCCTAGGTATTTGATCATATCTCCACTCGTGATCCAAATGTCACACTCCACATCCCCGATGCAAACCATCATGTACCCCTACGCCTCTATACTCCACATTGCCAAAAGACATACAACACACTACTAATGCATTCTAACTTACTATGCATATAAGCAATAACATCGAGTAATCCTAATGTCTCAAATTTATACAAATGCACATATCAAACACATTGAAATGTAGCAGATAATCATGCAACGAAATTTAGACAATCACACACAGATGCATATACAGTAACTAGGTTTACTCTCTCAATAAAACCTCACTGAGATCACTACTCGACCCGAAAGTCACATTCGTATCGTGTCTATCCACATGTTTCCTTTTATTATCATCTTAGGACAATCTCTTTCAACTATGTCCAAATTTTACCACAATTAAAACATTTCATATTTTTTTGCACTTATCTTAAACCTACACATGCCAACAATACCAAATAATGACCACAAGCAAAGTATTGACACATAATTCACACAGAACAGTCAAATAAACTTTCTTAAAGTCACATGTAATTTTAACGGTGTAGAAAAATTGGTAACAAATTCACAGATAATTTAATGTAACTAATTAACATGTAATTCCTAGGTCTAACAACATGCAATGGGTACCCCTTCACGGTAACCCCAAACCTAACGTCATCCCACACGATGACTTCTAATGCTAAAAATAAATAATTAACCTACACATTAATTTTAACTGCAATAATAAAAGGCAAGAAATACGAAACCGAGCGGACCATGTCTGAAGGTCCGTAAATATTGAGAAATGCGAATTCACCACTTTAGGATCATCACTGTTCATCTTAAAGTCAATAGCAACCACAGTAACACGAAAACAGCACCGGGTACCCGAACGCCCTAGGGTAAAATCGTCCAACTTTCACTGTATTGCTCCAAACTAAATCTGAAAACACTGCAGGGTCCGTCACATCA